TGTACACACACATGTACCTCATAAGCATGCTAATGTGTATCATTGTGATTTTTGTGGTAGAGTTGGTCACTTAACTAAGTTTTGTTTTGATTTGCGAAAAGTTTCTAAATGGTAAAATATTTCAAGTAGACCAATATTATTTTAAAATGTTTTTCATTTGCAAAATAATCTTAAAAGACCATCTTTATTTGCAAATGTTCCTCGTGCACATCCACATGGCCAACATAACCAAATGCATCCTCTTTATTACACTTATTGCAATCGAATGGGTCATTTGCATAATTATTGCTATGACCGAACTCGTGTACTAAATGCGCTCAAATGTGTTCATAACCCTAGGGCTTTGAGTTTAAATGATAGGGGTCATGTCCCTAAACCTTTTGGTACCAAAAATACTTTGGTACCAAAAATACTTTGGTACCAAAACAAATTTGCTTTTAAACCAAGAATTTTAATGTTTTTATTTTTCTTTTATCTTAGTTTTGAAAAATTATACTTTAAACTTTTGAACATGAAAACAATTTTTTTATTGATCAAATTCTTTTGTTTTCATGATTATTGGTTTTCTTTTGATGAGAGGTTTATGTTTATATAACCCTCCGGGTTTATTGGGTGTTTATTCCCAAATCATGTTTACCGGGTGCTTAAATATTTGTATGGGTTGTTACTAGCTCAAGAGCTAGATATGGTTACCTCTCTTGATTTTTTAAAATCAATGATGGTTTGGTTTTATACTCTTAAAAATGGTTTTTTTTTAAATCCATAGTTTATAATTCTTGTATGTTATTTTTGAACTATGAAAATTTTGCTTTGATTTGTTCTTTTGAATTCATTATATAAGCACAAATAGATGATTTCAAATAAGCTTTATAATGTATTCTTTATGTGGTTTGATCAAGTTTTATAAGAAAAACTTCTTTTATTGATCAAACATTGTTTTTGAACATAAACTTTGATTTATGATTTCTTTTGGTTGATTCGTTTTCATTTGAAAACTTTTTGCGTGATTCTCATGTTCTATCTTTTGATTTTATAATTCTATTTTTATACACTATGTTTTTAAAATTGTGTAATGAGACACTTCTTTCATATTAAAATATTTATATGTTTTCTCATTGTCTCTTTGTATGTAAGTTGTGTTTAGAATGATTCTTGTTTGCTCACATATGTATGCCTTAGTATTATTGCATATATTCATTAAGGCATTTTGATAGGGGGAGTCTTCTCTTTTTTATTATTGTTTTTATATTCTCCCATGCATTTTGATAGGGGGAGATTTCTCTTAATTATTTTGTTTTCCCCTTTTTGATGTTGTCAAATGGGGAGAAATATTTTGAGTATATTCTTTCTTATTTATATGCATGATATATTATACTTTGTATATTCATTTTCTTTCATGCATATATCCTTTTTGTAAATTATTTGTCATCATCAAAAGGGGGAGATTTTGGCCTTCTTGTTTTGATGATGTTTAACAAATAATTTACTTCTGATGTTGTTTGTCTAGTGTTTGTGTTTTCGTATTTATTCTAAGCAAACAACGAGTTGAAGGTTGGATGGATTGCGCGATAACGATCATATCAAATGGAGGATGGTGGAATAGTGGAGTGAAGCCTTGCTATTAAGTTAAAGATCCAATTACAAGCTTCATCCAAGTTTACCAAGTTGAGCTACAATGAAGATCAAGATCAAGCTTAGGTAACATTTAGTTTATGAGTTTATATTATGTGTGTTAGTACTTTAAGCTCAATCATATACACACATACACATTTTGGTTTTGTTTATATATAGTTATATATATACATATATGTTTTGGTTTGATAGTTTTCAAGTTTTAATATGAAACAATTTAATATAATTAGAAAACATATTTTTGTTTCATACTTATATGCATATATATGATTTCATCAATATCAATTTTATTTAGTTCAATGAAATCATGTTTTAGTGCATTATATGTGTATTTTGATAAAATACTACATTCATTATTTATAGACTTCATAACAATAGTTTACATCTTTCTTTAAGTCTATAAAATCATTTTGTAAAGTTTCAAAATATGGTTTAGGCAAAATGTCAAAATTCATATGTTTACATTTCTATGTTTTGGACCTCCTTACAAAATGATGATATTTTATATTTGGAAAGTCCTTTTTGAAAACCAGTTTTTGTAGCATGTGTATTATTATGTCTACAATCATTTCCCAAAGTTTTATATTTTTTATAAATTTATTTGATATTTTTAAATAGGGTTTTAAAATCAGAAAATCAACTTTCAAACTATTATGTTCATGTATCAGTTTGCAGTCGGCCGCCACGGTCGACCACACCTGAGTTTTTACCTGCGGAGTCAAACAGAAACATCCGCGGTCGACCGCCACGGTCGACTGTTAGCTCGAAATTTCCCACGGTTGATCGCCAAAGTCTCTGGAAAATTCTCAGCTTTGAAAGTGGCTCGCGGTCGACCGTGAGATTTTCACGGTCGACCGTCGTTCACTTCAACGGCTAGTTTTGGTACAGAATTAGATTTCTACCGTGAGATTTTCACGGTCGACCGTCGTTCACTTCAACGGCTAGTTTTGGTACAGAATTAGATTTCTGATTCTTGGGTTTTTTTGGTCTTTTCCTTTAGGGTTTTGGCTGAGATTTTGGGAGGCTATGTATACCCCCTTGCTCTCATCTTTCATTAGGAATCCAATAAGTTTTTAAAACAAGAGTTTAACAAGGGTTTAAGTTTGTTTAGTGTTTGTTTAAAAGAGTTTTGTTTGTGAAGAAGTTTTACACAAGTGGAGGAGATCATCTATATTCTTTGGGTTTCATTTTAATCCATCTCTCGATTTTGTTTTTCAGAGAAGAATTTCTAAACTCAATACTAGCTTTGTATTAATTCTTTGTTGTTTATCATTTTCATTAAGCTAGTATTTTCAATTGAGTTTAGTTGATTTGATTTCACTCATTGTTTACACACACCCACTTAAGCTTATTATATTTGCATACATTGTATATTTGGGTTGGTGAGAGTTGTAACAATTGAGTGTGAGCTTTCATTGTGTTCTCATCCATATTAGAGAATAATTATTTATTATAATTGTACTTATTGTGAGATTCACTTTGTAATACACTTGTACGCTGAGAGAAGTGTGTGGCGAGAGTCGGGGATCATCCCAAGAGGAGTGGCGTCGGTTGACGAACCTAGGGAGAGGTTGTATCCGAGCACTTGAGAGAGACACGTCTAGTTCAACACTTGAGAGGGTGTAGAGTGGGATTACAAGAGTGTGTTAGTTGTAGAGTTTTCGGTAAACTAGAAAACCGTATTATGAGGTGTAAACGTTATTCGGGTAAACGTAGAAAACCCGGTTGTGATAGTGAAGATCTCCTCGAGGTGAGGAGCGGAACGTAGGTCGTGGGGACCAAACTCCGTAATCATATCGTTTGTTTGTGATTGCATTGACGCACTTATTTTTTATGTTGATATCGTATACCGCATTTGTTTATTGCTTGTTGATTATATTGTCCACTATTTAGTTTAGATTGTTTACCCTTGTGTTAATTATATATCCTTGCATATATCTCATAGTATATCTTATTGCTAGGATATTTACCTTTGTTCATATTGCTTATTCTTGCTTGTAACATATTGTATATCTCTCTTACAAGAATAATTTGTTAATTAGTTTTAATTGGCATAAAATCGGATTAGATTAGCATAAAACCCTAATCACGCCCCTCTAAGGTCTAACACAATCTTCTCCAGAAATCACTGAGCACGTTGTCTCTCACTCCCTTCCTTGCCGTTGGCCGTAGCTTCACTGGAAAACACGAGATCAAATGTACTCGAAGGTAAAAACCCTTAACAAGTCTCAAACGGTGACTTTCCCGAAGATCCATGAATAGCCCGATTAAATGCAAGCTGAAGATATGGTAAGCTTTCATCCCAAGTCTTGGGATGTTTGGAATTGTATCCTCTTAACATATGTACCATAGTCCAATTAACTACCTCTGTTTGTCCGTCGGTTTGTGGATGAAAGGCCATGCTCTTCTTTAACCTAGTGTCCATCAAGCTCCACAAAGAATCCCAAAAGTATCCGAGAAACCGACTATCTCGATTCTAAATAATCAAATTCGGCAACCCAAGTGCTTCCACACATGCTCAAAGAACAATTGCGCCACACCCGCTCCCGTCACGCTCTTCTTACAATGAATTAAGATGACCATCTTGCTGAAACAAATAATCATTCCCGTGCTTAGTCGTCGGCAATCCTCCTAAGAAATCCAAAGAAATACCCTCCCACGGTCTTTACGGTACCGGCAATGGTAGATACAATCCCCTTTTTCTATTAGAAGGCTTCGATATGCAACATAGCTTACACCCTCCAACATACTTAGTGACATCTTGTAACATCTTCGGCTAAAAGACATAGCGCCGTAGATTGAGAAGCGTCTTCTGAATCCTAAAATGACCTTGCACACGTGATGTATGGGCTTCTCAAATCCACTGCAATCGATCGCCATCCTCTGGAATGCATAGGGACGTCCCTTGATAAAACAAACCATCTGCACCAATCTCATACTCACCCTTTTGACCAGCCTTCGCCTGCTTGAACACTTGCTAAAATCTTAGCTGAATGTGTACATCTGTACATACTTCAAAGGAACCAAGGGCTGAATGCGTGTCGCCACCAAGAGAGCTCTCACGGGTGGGCGAGATAATATATCGGCTAACTTGTTCGTCGTTCCCTTCTTGTACCTAATGATGATATTGAACACCATCAAATAGGACATTCACTTCATGTGCCGTGCCTACTGTAGCTTCGTCTGGGCATGTAAAAATTCCAATGGCTTGTGATCTGAGTGCACAACCACCTCCTTTCCCAACAAATACACCCGCCAATGCTTGATTGCTTGATAAAGTGCATAAAACTCCTTGTCGTAGGTGGGATAGTTCTGAATAGCACCCGTAAATATTTCTGAATAGTACTCCACCGGCTTCCTATCCTGAATCATGCACCCATAGCATAACTAGAAGCGTCGCTCTCTACCTCGAAAGTCCTCTGTAAATTCGGTAATGCTAATACCGGTGCCTCTGAGATCTTCCTCTTTAATAACTGAAAAGCTTCCTCATGCATCCTCCCCCACTCGAACTGAACCTTCACCTTCGTAAGGCTATGTAAAGGTGCTGCATAAGTCGAGAAATGTCGAATGAACTTGCGCAAATACTGACAAGCCCCCATGAAGCTTCTCACCTGCGTCACTGTCCTAGGTGTCGGCCACTTCGTGATCACTGTCACCTTGCGTGGATCTATCCTTCGCTGGCCTTTCCCCACGATGAACTCGAGATACACCAACTCGTCCTTCCCAAATTCACACTTCTTCTCGTTAAGTTTTAGCTGTCCGTTCTGCAGCACTTCAAACACCTTCTTGACATGAACAAGATGTTCCTCCCAAGTTCTGCTGTACACCAAGATATCATCGAGGTAAACTATCACAAAATCCTCTATAAAGGGTCACAACAAATTGTTCATAAGTCTTATAAAGGTAGCCGGAATGTTGCACAATCCAAACGGCATCACCAACCACTCGAACAGACCCTGTTTGGTCTTGAACGCAATCTTTCAAGTGTCATCCTCCCAAATCCTCACCTGATGGTAACCAGACTTCAAATCCAGCTTCGTAAAAAACCTTGCTCCTTCCAACTGGTCCATAAGATCATCAATCTGGGGTAATGGGTATCGATTCTTAATGGTTATCTTGTTGAGCGCCCGGTAATCTACGCACATGCGTTAGTCTCCATCCTTTTTGGGCACCAACAATACTGGTGACCCGCAAGAGGAACAACTCGGCACAATCACTCTTGTCTCCAAAAGCCCCTGAACCTGCCTCTTGATCTCCTCACACTCCTCTACAGATGTGCAGTATAGACTTATATTTGACAAAGAACTCCCACCGATCAACATAATCTCATGCTCCACACCCCGTCGTGATGGTAGTCCCGTGATCTTCGAAAACAAGTCTACGTACTTGGTCTTGAACCTGTCAAGCTCCCCCTCCTGAAACTTGCTCAAGGTAGTCAAGCACACCCTACTCAGCTGCTCCTCATAAGGCCTAATGACTAACAATATAAACCTCTTGCTCGCATTCACTAGCCTCTTCGCCTGAGTCACTGTCACCAAACTCGTCTCCTGTGGAAGAGACGCTGAACGAAAGATGAATTGCTCGTCATCTTTGGTGAACGTATACATCTGGGCTCGCCTATCGTAGACCGCAAACCTATCCCATAAATAAGGATTGCCCAGTATTACTTAGCAAACATCCAACGGAATGACGTCACATGTGACCTCGTCAATATATGACTTATGGAGTGCAAATCTAAAAGTGCATTGGTTGACTACACTCAATCCTGTCTCCTTCTGAATCCACCCTAAAGAATAAGGTTTCAGATGTTTAACCGTCTTCAATCTCAGCTTCTGAACCAAGGCCTCAGATATCAAATTCTTCTGGCTCCTTGGATCCACTATGGCATCAACCAAGCTGGTCTTGACCTGCAATTTTAAAACAAAGAGCTACTCCTTCGAGTCTTTTCCTCCGTCGTGGTCTGCTTCCCTGCCATAAGATTGAGACTGCTATTGAGTAGTGTCATCCCGAGAAACTTCTTCGGACCCTGAGCTACTACATATGCTTTCTTCTCCCCTTTTTTCTTCAATCCTTTTGTCTTCAGATGAGGATACTTCTCCTAGCAACGTTCAGCTACGTGTCTTGTCTATTTGCAGTGATTACATGTTAATCATGCCTTTCCCGAATCACCCTTCTTCTTCTCTTCCTTAGGCAGAGAGCCACTTGACTTGCCTCTTGTCTGTTTGGAGTCTCCCTTCGTTTCGTTACCCTTCTTTTGCCTGCCCTCAATGGCAATGACCTTCACACTCGTTTCTGCCATGGACTCGACTACGAATAACTTTATCTCCTTTCGGATATATTCATTCAGACCCGCCATATACTTCATAAAGATGGGATATTCCTCCGTCGCGATGTTGAGAACCATCTCCTGCTGTTGGAACTCCGTCGTATATTCTTGAACGGTCTGATTGAATTTTTGGCGCAATCCATACCACTTGTACTAACGCTCCTCAAGGAACCCCACTGGATATAACTGCTTTCTCAGTAGCTCCTTAAATTTGTTCTACGACACCGCCTTCTTCTCCTGCTTGTAGTAGGATTTCCACCACGTCAACGCATGCCCTGAAATCTTCAAAGTCGCGAACACAATCTTCTCCTTGGATGAATATCCATAGAGAGTGAAATATATCTCCATACGATCGATCCAATCATTGAGCTTCTCCACATTGACACTCCCATGATAAACATGAATCTCTACCTTAAAATCAATTTTCAAATTCTGATAGTAAATTTTACCCTCTTGATGCATAATAGTTTTGACAATCCCTCGGCTTCCCTATCAGAATCAGATTCCTCGCCTTCTCCATCGGACTCTATAAGTTGCTTCTTACCTTTCAAAGAAGATTCCTCCTTTTTATCCTTTTCTTGGAAGATATTGACGAACTGTGTGAGAGTCGAACTCATTGTCTCCATCTGTTTCTCTAATGCATCTAGCCTCGCTAAACTATCTCCTTCAGTCATCTTCTTATTCCTTAATTTCTGGACCCCTTCCAATAAAATAAGGATCTCGCCTAACTTCTTGTAATACGATCGAGTTAGGACCATATACATGATGCCCCCTTCACAGGATCTGATCACTCTGATACTAACATGATACGAGTCGTCGTGTGAGCACCTTTGATCGCGGAATTATCAATGATGGTTGAGAAGAAAAAAACAAGAACACAAGGACAATTCAGTGGTGGCGAAGGAAAATACCTTCTATAGATTATGAGAATTAAATAGTTTACAATCTCTTACAATCTCACTAGAATTGAAGAACAATCTCTCTCAATTCTCAAATACAATCTAATCTCTCTTAATTTTTTTAAAACCTTAAAACAATCCCTTATATATGTGTAACAACATGGATGGCAAAGTGGTAAATAACCAATCCTAAACCCCACAGGAATTCGTGCAAACAAAAACCCAAACAAACCAGGAAACCATCGATGAGTCGACTCATGTGCATATATGAGTGGACTCATGACACATGGGTCGACTCATGACTGGCATGAGTCGACTGGTCAGAAACTTCTGACAAAACGGCTGGGTCTCGTGAGTCGACTCATGACAGCCATGAGTCGACTGGTCAGAAACTTCTGACAAAACGGCTGGGTTTTGTGAGTCGACTTATGATAGGCATGCGTCGACTCAACCTGATGAGTCGACTCATGTGCATGTATGAGTCGACTCACGGGTTGAAAACTGGTGCTTCGATTCTTCGATTCGCCATCTCGTTTCACGCTTCGACCTGTGTTCCACTGTGTTGTTTTTACACCTCTATTCTCAGGTTACCATGAGAATCATCTATCCTCAAGCTCCCATGAGGATCGCTAAGTTCCGAAGAGGAGATACACCCGTATCAGGGGCGAAATGTTTTCTTAAGGACAGTGATTACACGCCTTGACAGTTCGTACACATTGTGATTTGTTCCAGTCATAAGTAATTTTCACCAAAAATCTTAAGAAAAGATTTGTCCAATGGCTGGATCAGAAGATGGTGTCACCAACCCTGATGCTGCAACCACAAACATCGATAAAGTCTCGACCGTCGTTTCGTAGGAGAATTTTTTATCTGGGCGACTTCTCCCAAATATGTCGAAGATCAAACAGTTCCAGGGAGATTATTTCAAGCGTTGAAAGGAAAGGATTTTTGATGCCTTTGATGTTCTCAACTTTGCTAAATATCTCACCGAAAAGGAACATCTACCAGGTTCGGTAGATTATGAACCAAAGTTAGCGGCTTGGCAGAAATGTAACAAAGTATGTCGCTATAACATCCTATCTACTTTATCAAATGAGTTCTTCGATATTTACTACTCCTATAAGAATTATGACGCTTCCGTTTTCACACATGGCTACAGTCCAAGGTGAACCCAGAGATGTCAAACCTGTCATGCACTCACACTGTGCAATAACATATTTCACCAATCACAGTAATATCCTCTAGTGGAATCAAAAGAAGTATAGGTACAAATAGGTGAAATAAAGGAAATAAATATAGTAGGCATGATTGTAGAAAGATAAATATCATAAAAGAAACTATGTCTCAAATGAATAAAACTGTAATACATCTGATCTCTTCAATAATGTAAATATGTTTCTACATGAATCAATTGAAAATCGTTTTAAGGCACATAGCCTTTACAAAATGAAATACCAAACTCTAATATCTGAAAGGAAATATAAATCCACTGTGGAGCCTCTACTAACAACTAATGTGATGACGGTTATCCAAGAACTCTGCCATCCTGCGGCTCTTCGAAACTCTGAGCTGCCTAACAAGAAATTTAAAACAAAAAAGAACAACAACAACAACATCAGATGCTAAAGCAAGATCACCTCTATCCTCCCCCAGGGGAAGGTCTGCTAGATTTAGTAAAGACTCTATCTATTAAGCATAGTCTACCTACATCACCCCCCATATCTAATGGTATTAATAGTTAAAAGTTTACAACACGAGACATAGTACGTCGAGCGAAATAATCCAAACAAGGAAACTCTCATGTATATACCATATGTCTCAAATTGTAGATAACTAAATATTAATCCCGAACTAAGAGTGAAAGGAAACATATCTAGAAAGTAAAGCATCATAATAAACATCAGCATATGTATCTTGTGTACTCACATAACAAGGTATCTCAGTCATCAAATATCTCAACAATGAGTCAAAATCACTTTTGGCATCTACCAAACTCAGGCTATCACATAATTGTCATAATGCAACTCTTTACAAGATTCCGATTTCATCGCATTATCATGCGCAACGGACTACCCTGTATGTATCCTAAACAGTGTACACGGCTCATTAGTCTCACGCGATCTTAGTGCGTAACATGAGTGCGGGATGACCTACCATATAGGTATCCTAAAAGACGACTCACAAGCCTCATCGCACCCTCGTGCGGACGGACTGCTAGACAAATCATCCAAACCCGACTCAATGGCCTGTACAAATGGAATATCGACGCACTACCACACGTAGTATTGAACTAATCTCATCAACAATATCCATTTCGTATATAAACCGTGTATATCTGGTATATCGACACACTATCTCATATAGTACTGAGCTGAGCTCATCAACGATATCCAACAAGTGCATAAACAATCTCTAACTCAAGCGCCATCAGTTAAACACTTGTCGAAATCCCCTTTGGGATGCTCGTGTGTACTACGACACCATTTATGTACCATCATGCCCGTACGTGTATTATCGTGCGACTCAAACCCCTCGATCGCATCTCAAAACAGTGCAACTTAATATTCAGGAAAATCTGTCTTAGTAGTCGTCTACTAAGCTTAGTAGTCGACTACAATGAGTCCATCCAGACTCTATAAAGACATGTATTAGTATTAGTAGTCGACTATTAAGGACATTAGTCGACTACTCTACAATGATCAAGTTTCTGAAAATTTAAACTGGACGTGAGTAGCTGACTACTAAGCTTAATAGTCGACTACCCTGTCAAAACATGCATTCTTTCATGCACGAACAATACTTATTAGTCAATTGCACATATCATGAAGTTAAAACAAGACCTTCTACTTGGCATATGCAACAAACATTATCTAAATTATAATACAGGAAAGGAAGATCTGAGGGAATTAAGCCATGGGGGTACTTTTGGTAAATTACCACATATGGTTAGGGTTAACGCAGTCATGGTTTAAAGTTTTTAATAGAAAACCTAACAAAAGGATTAATATCAACACATTAATAGAATTTGAGGGAGTAATATCAATATCTAAAGAATTGAGGGACTAACATAAAAATAGGTGTAAAGGACCCATATCGGAAAGCCCCTAGTATTATGACAAAATCGTTACTATAATATACATCCAATCTGGTGAATTGCGACTAGTTCTTCTCCAATAACAGTGTAAGACATGTAGAATCCATAAAACAATCACATAATTCTGAAAAAAAAAACTCTCACTTTTATTCTGTTATTAACATTAAACACCAATGTAAACAAAAAATAATTAAGTTATCAGTAACAGCAAACTGATCCGACACAAAGGAAGACAATCTCATAACACAAATCAAGTATCATCACTAGACTTCCACAATCACCCAAAAAGCTTCTAGAACCTCTCAAGTACAGTGGGGGATTGGAAGTTGACGTTTATCTCCTCTCATCTTTAGTGCCCCCTGCATGAAGCTATGGCCGAGACCTCCAATGCGTAGCCTTCTCAAATCCATTCTTGCACAAGTGATAGTCCTCAAAAGTCTGCTCAATCTCGGCCTTTGTGTTCATAACAAAAGGCCCATACTGAACCACCGGCTCATTCAACGGCTGCCCTCCAACCAAAACAAACCTCAACGGATTCCCCGATCTGTTCCAAACACTGACACCATCGCCGGAGCTCAGAACAATTACATGATGGCTCGATACAGGAGGCGATGCTGGATTTCCAAAAATACCATCACCTTCGATTATGTAAATAAATGCGTTCCAGGACTCTGGAATAGATTGGTTAACTTGGGATCCAGGTTTCATTGTGAAGTCGAGATACATTGCTGGGGTCCGAGTGTAGACAGGGGACTTGATTCCGAATGCTTCGCCTGCGATGACTCGAACATAGACGCCATCTTTTTCAGCTTGGGCAATGTCTTTGCTCTTCAGTTCTTGGTATCTAGGCTCGATCCTGCAGAGTTCAGACAAGTCAGAATTTAGATTCGAGTTACAGGGAAGGATGAAGACGTGAGGTTTTCGTTACATTTTGTCTTTGGATGAGAGATTGATCCAAAGCTGCAAACCCTTCTGAACTCCTTCTCCAGCGGGCATCTCAGAGTGAATAATTCCCCTGCCTGCGGTCATCCACTGCAGGAGGAAATAGAAATCACGTACCGGTGAACTCTGTCAAATTTTGATTTGAATTGGGATTTATGTAATATTTGATTGAACAAAATTAAGCAGCTACCTGGAGATCTCCAGCTCTGATTGTTCCCTCGTGTCCAGAGAAATCTTGGTGAGTAAAGGCCCCCTGAGATCAAAATTCAGACAAAAGGGCATACAAGCTTCCCTTATTTCTCTTACTGCACAAGATGATAAAGGAGAGCAATTTTATGAGGAAATTTACGTACCTCTAGCATATATGTGACAGTCTCAAAACCTGAAAGAAGAAAAAAATAGTAGTAAGCTTTATTTAATAAACAACTATTATCATCAAAGGAGATTATGAACTCCAGATATCGATATAACCTAACCTCTGTGAGGATGATCAGGAAATCCAGAAGGAAGAGAGACTGCACAAATAGAACAGCAAAAGGAAAAGTGAGTAAATAAAATCAATCAATGACTATCAAACAAGACGACCATAAGCAAAAGGAAAAAGTGAGTAAATAAAATCAATCAATGACTATCAAACAAGACGACCATATTCGACAAAGAGGAAAAGAACAGGAGAGGTGGCAACAAAACCTGAAAATTCATCCAGCATGAGAAAAGGATCCACACTCCCAATCTCCAGCCTATTTACAACCAAACAAAAACCAAAAACCCAATTGAGATCCGTATTCAAAAATGAACAACAAAGTCAAACATAATCAAAATAGACAATTGACCAGTACCTTCCAATGCTTCTCCTAACAATGGCTCCTTCACCCTCATGTTGAGCCTTTGCAAGGACTTTCTGGATGACCGATCTCGGCGTCTCGAAATACGGGTTCTCGTTATCTCTCCCGCTCATGGTGATTGCTGTGAAGAAGAATTTGTAATTGGTTCTCTTGTTGTAGCAAGAAGAAGAGAAAGCAGAGGAGGAATAAGTTGGTCTTGTGGTTGGAAAAGATCTGAAGAGAAGGTGAGAATTTATAGAAGAGCACCAGCCACCTCTCATCATCATCGTCTTCTTCGTCATGAACTAATTTTATAAATTAACGCACGAAGTTTGCTCAAAACTCTTGGTTTCCTCTCGAATATTTTGGAAGTGTCAATGAATGAATTGGTGGGCTGTTGTGAGTCGGCATCACGTGTCGTCTGAGCATCACGTGGCTGATTTTTGTAGAACAAGGAATATGTAGTCGGAAGCAATTTTGCCAAGAGAAGAACAGGGGATGCGGACGGACTCGGTGCAACGTTTCCATTTGGACCGGAGAAGGATGATGTCAACCTCGTGTAAGCATGACGTACGAGGGTCCAATATTAATATTAGAGGAGTTCAATTAGATTGGGGAGGGTCCAATATTATTATTAGAGGAGTTCAATTAGATTGGGGAGGGGTCAAGTTCGTGTGGTGTTCATATGATATCTTTACCCTTGGACTTTAATAGATGGGAAGCTGCATGGGCCCAGTTAATCATAGCGTGCTTTAGCGCTTGGTTTGGTAGGAGGGGAGGTAGAATAAGATAAAGAATATAATTTAAAATCTTTTCTGGCATGGGGTATTTAGTAGGGGTGAGCACGGCTCGATTCGGGTCGGTTTTTACCAAAATTTGAACAACCGAACCGAACCACCTACAATTCAAAACCGAACCGAACCGTTGCAAATCGGTTCGGTTCGGTTCGGTTCGGTTTGTTCGGTTCTAACTTCATCAAGTATAACAATCAAAGGCACAAATATTGCCTATCCCAAGAGTTTATATCCAAGCATCATTCCAAGCAAATAAACACAGCAGCAAGTTGTTGACATTGATTTTTTGAAAGCAAACACAAAGCTAGTTGCCTTTGTTCATATAACATCATAAAATAAGCACCAATTGAATATAGAAGCAAGTGAGAAGTAAAGTTAAAGTTTACATAGTAACATTTTATCCCAAGACGTATCACAGAAGACATCACTAACATGATAACATCCCTAACATGAAAACTGTAAATAGAAGAGACAAATCATGTCTGCAACGAGCCAAGATCCTGCAACGAGCCGAGATCCTGCAGTAAGCAATCCCTTGATGACTTGATCAATAGATGTTCTGCAATTAACCCAGCAAAAAAATTATGATGAGCAACAATACATACAGCTTTCATACAGCTTTCTAATTCAAACATATTTTCAATAGATGCTATAAGATTAATAGATGTTCCGCAACTAACATGAAAACAATACATACTGTAGGCTGATGCAGCAAAGGAGGAAGCATCCAAGTATATCCTAAACCATGCAAGAGTCTGTAAAGCTGGTTGACATGATACATGCTATGAGATTTTGTATTAAATTCCAGTGTTGCTGCTTTCAGAGGAAATTGATAGACGTCGTCACCAAACTAGCTTCTAATCAACAATTGAACTAACTGCGTCAATTCATTTATAGGCCATGGAAACCACTTTCAGACTATACAGACAAATTCAAGCGACTCATTGATTCCTGCAGTAAAAAGTATCAATGCCACAACACAATATTTATCACAAGAAAATTCAAGTGACTCTTTTCCCCTTAAGTTGTGGAAGGGAATATTTCAAGCCATCATCTAGAGGTCCACCTCATATAATATCTCAATGATCCAAGTTGTTATGAGCGATTATTTTTGCCCTTGAACCAGCATTTTTAAAAATTATGATACACATTTAATAGTATAAATCATATCATTCGCACTAAACAAAGTAGAGTTCATTAATTGAGGTAGGAAGCTAAATTAGCTAATCAAAGTAACCTCTATATGCTTATTACAGAAGGGAAGCATTTATTGTACATTTGGTGTGGCAATGTCATGCTTCTGTTGCACACATCTAAATGATTTCTGTATCAATTATGTTCAGTTTAGATCATATAAAACACCTCTTAACAATAATGAAACAATAGTCAAGCATGCACTATTAACTTTGGACTATTAACTTTATTTAAAAAAAACTAGATCTGAGGAAATACCCAACAGGAAATACCCAATAATTATTACCTGTGTTCTTCCATGAAAGCTCTTACAAATCCGTGATTGTCGGTTCAATTGAAAGCTTGCCCAAATCTGAAAGATAGACAAATATGATAAATAAGATAGTAACAAATGCTCAAGTACATTCTGATAAATATGATACACATGTTAAGCTGAAGACAACAATTAACATTTTGACCGCAAAAACCAAATGATCCCAGTATTCTGGATCCTTGAAAATCAGATAAAAGGAACCTAGTAAACACAAGCAACATGAATTTCTTATTGTCGTCTGCTTACCTAATTATCCTGCCAATTAGAAGGATTTCACTACATATTTTTTTATTTAGTTCCCACTATAGGCAACAAAGAAGTTGAGTGACAGAGTGATGTATCAGGGAACTATGCCCTATGACTTGGTGAAAGAACACTGGAGACTAACAACGTCTAAAATCAACGTGTAGGTGATTCATTGACTTTTCTCCCTACAACAAGCATTACATCCTTAAATTAACAATGATACGAAGGGAAGGGCACGTAAATAGAAGAAACAAAAACTGAAGTTTATCTTCAGCCGTATGGGTACTTTAGGCAAGCCTTCTTCATTATCGACTAAACTATCAACACTCATCCCCCCTAAGATTTGGAGCCCTCCAGCTCCCAGAGATCGATTACCATCTTAACACACTAGATGGCCGTACCCCCCTAAGATTTGGAGCCCTCCAGCTCCCAGAGATCGATTACCATCTTAACACACTAGATGGCCGTATTCATGCTGATATTACCAATCTTTCAGTTATACGTAACTCTGAAATTTGTCAAATCCACAACAAATTTGAACAATTGAACTAACAAAGCTATAATAGATCCTGAGCAAAAGAAAAAAATCCACAACAAAAAAAATTGTCTAAGAAATAATCAAATCAAATTATGTCAACATTGAAATATTGAATGAGAAAGAAGCTTGAAGAAGAGCAAAAGAGATCAAACTCGGCGACGGCGACGGGTGCGGCATACCTCCCCCCAATGACCGGAGTAGATCCTGAACCGGCAGATGGATCCATGAAGAGTTGAAGACTAAGGAGGCGGAGCGCTTGGCCGGGTTGGCGGGTGGCGGCTGAGAAGAGTGAGAGAGAGTGAGAGAGGCGGACAGACTAAGAGCGAGAGAGAAGAGAGAAATTGGGAACGAGGGCGCTGCGCTGGACTGGGAGTCTGGGAGGGAAATGAGAGGTTAGGGGTTTTGATTCTTTTTGGGTTTGGCGGAACGGCGACGGGTCGGTTATACCGCGTATTACGGGTAGGGGGGGGTTTGAGAATTCGGTCGGTTCGGTTCTTTCGGTTTGAGAAGTTTTAAACCCGACCCGAACCGCCCAATTCATAAAACCGCTTTTTTCAGGTCGGTTCGGGTCGGTTCGGTCAGTTTTTTCGGTTTGAACCGAACCGTGCTCACCCCTAGTATTTAGAGGGTAAAAGTGAAGTAGAGTGGAGTAAGGTGAGAAGAAAAAGAAAATACAAAATAAACTAGAAAGTGTGGAGAGAGAGAGAGAGAGAGAGAGAGAGAGAGAGAGAGAGAGAGAGAGAGAGTACACGAGGAAAGCCTCCAATTTGGAGAGGCACAAGTAGGGCTGAGCACGATTCAGTCCAAACCGAAAAAACCGACCGAACCGACCCGAAAAAATCGGTTTTATAAATAGGGCGGTTCGGGTCGGGTTGAAAACTTTTCAACCCGAACCGACCCGAACCGACCGAATATAGTGCATTCCATCTCAAACCCTACCCGACCCGTCCCCAAAGAGTAAAAATTTCTAAGCGAGGATGTTGAAGCCGATCAAAGTAACTTTGATATTTTAGCTTATTGAAAAGTTAATAGTGCAAGGTTCCCAATTCTCTCTCGGATGGTTCGTGATGTATTGGTTATTCCAATCTCTACAGTTGCTTCTGAGTCTACATTTAGTACAAGTGGCCGAGTACTTGATCTATTTAGGAGCTCATTGACTCCAAGATTGGTACAAAGCCTAGTATGCACTTCCGATTGGCTTCGAAACTTGTTGGCTATGCCGGGTTCAAGCAAAATTTGCTTTGAAGAAGATTTGGATGCTCTTGAGAAGTTAGACATAGGTATTTACCATTTATGTTTTTGTATGTTAAGTGATTTGATTTTTTATTAACTTTTTATTTGTTTATCTTTTAGATTTGGCCAAGCTTTCAATTGAACCGACAATCACGGATTTGTAAGAGCTTTCATGGAAGAACCGACAATCTCTGGTTCATTCCTTGAGCTAATTTGAGTCAACATCGAAGAACTTTAGAAAATAAAACTTTTAGATTACATGTTTTTGTTGACCAAATTATTTATATTATGGTCGTCACTCGTCATTTACTTTATCTTTAATAGTTTGAACTCTAGACATTAAGTATGCTGCATATGTATTAGGACCGAAATCATTATGGGTTGAAAAAATATTATTATATTAGTGTTTAATGTTTCATAATCTCCTACTTTGTTGATATCTTTTTTTTTCTTTAACACAGTTTGTTGTTTGATAAGAAGTTTACTTTGTTGATATCTTTTTTTTTCTTTAACACAGTTTGTTGTTTGATAAGAAGTTTGATGAAGTTAGAATCGAACAAACCGAACCTCTTTAACACAGTTTGTTGTTTGATAAGAAGTTTGATGAAGTTAGAATCGAACAAACCGAACCGAACCGAACCGACTTGCAACGGTTCGGTTCGATTTTGAATAATAAGCGGTTTGGTTCGGTTGTTCAAATTTTGTTAAGAACCGAACCGAACCGTGCTCAGCTCTAGGCACAAGAATGAGGAGAGAAAAGATACAAAATAATCTAAAAAGTCATGTACCTCCCATTACTTCTTCTCCAACCAAATAAGAACCACAAAAGGGTATATCCCTCATTGCACATCATTGAACCTTAGATTACGTTACCTTCTCTCCTTATACATCCTGTGAACACCAACCCTAACAGAAATGAAATATTTGGTCGGAGGTCCATCCATTTTTTTTAAGAGGATAAGAGTGATCCTATTTCTGTTCTTTAATTTTGCAGTAAGTTTACTATACAACGCCGCCGTCTTAGCTCAGCCGGTAGAGCGCACGGCTTTTAACCGTGTGGTCGTGGGTTCGATTCCCACAGACGGCGATTAAATTTTCTCTCGTGAGAAAATCTTTTTGTTATTTATCGACATGCCCCCCTAGGCCCCTATAGCGTGGGCACCTGCA